TCATTTGAAACTCTCAATACAGCCCGTTCCTTCTTAAAATGTGCACACCAAAATTTCACATGACCAACACTTCTACCTGTTAAGATAAACAGTCCACAAAATTAAGGCACTTTCAGGGAATTATGGGGGAATAAAGTATTTATTAAAGTTACAATAACATATCAAAAATGTCCATCATACTTTTGAAAGCTCTTAACTAGGCACAAGGGCAGAAACAGTCAGTCTCAGCCACTGCAGGCAAACACATGTTCATGACCAAAGCAAACAGGGAAACAGAGGGTTGTGGTGAGCATCCTCTTCAGCATGTCCCCAGGCACACAGGCCCCACTGCATGTCCCACCTCATGTGCCCAACACCAAACAGAGGCGGTGGTAGCTGTGCAGACACCACGGGGCAGAGCAGGGCACTGCTGGCTAAATGGCAGCAGCAAACTGATTTTGTACATTCACCTAGAGGTGTGTTCATAAATGCCATACTCAAACTGGACTTATGCACATTCATTCATTACTTGGTATATCTGAGAGATCTTGAAACCAAAGCAACTAAAAAAAAAAAGGATCTCCCTGCATACCTGACACTGTGCAATTACATGTTAAGGCAACAGAAGTCACCTCTTCTACCCCCACTCACTTCTCCATCTTATTGTTTACCTAGAATTTATGGCATATATTCCACACATCACTGTGTACTTCAAAATGTGCATGTTCCCCTCTGTGGAATTCTCCTGGGACATGAATCCCACTAACCATTTATGCATGCACATTGATTATTAAATTCCACACTGAAGGAGTCAAGTTTTGAGGGGAGGTGAGGCAAGGCATCAGTGAGCGAGGGAGAGAAGAGGTCATGTGACCAAAATATGTACTTCCAGGAGTGCAATCTGAGCTGGTGGGGAATCCAGACCTCTGCGGCTCAGGACCATTGACGAGTACCAGAGAGGCAAACAGGCGAACAGCCCCAGCAGACTAGAGCCATCGCCAGCATTCAGGGTCTGCGGCAGGCTCCCAGGGCCTGAGGCAGGCTCCCAGGGCCTGAGTTAAGGAGCAGTCCTCAGTTAAGGAGCAGTCCTCACTGAAAAGGCCACATAGACATCCTATGAGTGTCTCTCATGGATCCAGGGGTGGCCAGAGGCCATCACCACAAGGATGTTTGCACTCCCTAAAACCACAAAGAGTGATCTCAGAACTTGTACTTGGACCACAAGGCAGTGGGAACACTGTGATTTCCTTCATCAGTGTACAGGCTGTTTCAGAGTCTAAGAAGAATTTCTCACCAATACATAAACATACACTATAGCTAGACCTGACTTATATTGGTTCCCTGACTTCAGGATTTCAGGGACAGGCAAACTTAAAAAAAAATTCAGAAGATGGACAAAGGGCAGCCAACATTTTGTTTCACAACCAAGAGCATTTTAAAAAGCAAAAGTACTGCCCTCTGCTATCATCTTCATTATATAAAAGAACATTTTATCATCCAAATTAGGAAGGACATAATCTCAGAATAAAAGGCAATCCTTTAAGTTGAATAAATTTGACTCCAAGAACTGTTTACCATGTTGTCCTTATACTTCTCACCTGCACAGAGCCCTCTGTGCCCAATGCATATGGCTGTGGGCCACAGTGACTCTAGCTGCCCCATCACGGCACAAGGTCAAGCCCAGATCTCCCAGGTCGCAGGCTCTCCTGCACTTCATCGCCTGAATGCACTTCCACTGAGAAGAGGAAAACGGTCACAATGACACTGCTTACTGTGCATAGATTGCTCGGGTAAAAAGTGCTGTCCCACCCACATGCATCTTTTCGTGTGACTTCTCACAAAACCCCATGACAGAGGCACACCAGGAAGCCCTGTCCCCGTGTGACGTGGAGCCTCAGTTGTTAACAGGCCTTGCCCAAGGCCACAGACAGCAGTAGAGCACAGGCCAAATGCTCACTCTCAGTCCGGCTTCTCTTTGCTCAGTCCTGGGTTTGCTGTGTGTTCCATTCTTTCTTTCATGAACCTTTTATTTCCAAGAATCAATTCATGAAAGAAGGGAGAAAAAACTCAAACTGACAGCTTAAGCCTGATAACAGAAACACAGTAAACATTAGGAAATTGCTAATCGTCCTTTCTTTTTAAAACTACCTGTTTAACAAGTGCATTTTGACTAAACTTATCAAATGTCAAAACAAAACACCAAAAGACAAGCATCACCGCCTTAAACCCTTTTCTGGAACAAGGCAGAGTATAAATAAATAAATATATAAATAACACAAGTAATAAGAAAAGTCGTAGAATGTGTGTGACCCAAGATTCCAAAGCTGAATTCTCAGAGCTATCAACACTGCCCCAGTCCAGCCCACTCATCTGTTCACGGCAGCCAAGGCCCAGGGCGCAGGATTCTGTTCAATGGCCAACAGCTGTCCCTGGGAGCAGCGACACCCAAACACTCCTGGGATGGGGCCGGGGGCAACGTTCAGGCTCCCTCCTACTGGTCCACAGAGCCCCTCTCCTGAGGAGGGCTATGGGCCAGCAGGCCACAGCCGCACCAAGTACCACCACATCTCCTTGCTCCATAGGACCCTGGCCCCCCAGGGCTTAGAAACATGATTTTATAAAGTGCTCAGATGAAGTACTCTTTCCTATTCTGTATCCTATCCTTGCCCACAAAAGAAAAAGGGAGCTTTAGTAAAGGGAGCATCACTAAAAACAAGGAGGAATGAACTTAGTCAGCTACCTACACTGTTTTCAGGTTCATGATTGACAGTTATGAAGTTTCAGACAAGATGAACCTCAAAGTTGTTGGGCTTCCATAAAAAGTAGCACAGGCGGACTTGAACAGAGGAAGCTTGACATGTCCTCTGCAAATGAAAAGCTGAGACCCTAGACACCTGCAGACCAGCTGGGGCATGCCACATGCCACAGGAAAACCAGGAGAGCATCCCTATCCTCTGGCTCATTCTCTCCCCAGACACATTATCTCCCTGGCCAGGTCTGGGTGAAGCCCAACTATGAAGATAAATTCAGTCCATTCCTTCCACAGAGACCATGGACAATAATTCGAACCCTCAGAAACAAACTCTGTACTGAGTGGAGGAGCTTGACACCCACTCTGCCATGACTGGGCTTTGCCTCTGTGTAGCCTGAAGGTCATACCAGTACGCACAGGACTTCTGCATAGGCAGCATTCCCAGAGCTAAAAGTAAAGTGAACTGACCACCCACTCCTGGAAGCCCACTCAGCCCTACCAAGGTAACAAGCCACTGCTTACACATCTCTAGTGATAAGAGGCCCCTCCAGAGTGGCCCAGTCCACCTGTGGGTGGCTCAAACCTCCATACAATCTTTCCCTAACTTCCTATAACTCTGCTCTGGCCACAGCCCAATTTTGGTCCTAGTCCCACTCTGAGTGCCACAAAGAACACATCTAACCCCTCTCCTGGGCTGAAGGTCCTGTAGCGCTTTGCTCCAGTTGTCACAGCCCTCACCAGCTACCCATCCACCACCTGCAGTTCCTCTCCTCTCTCAGGAAGACTCTCCTGACCTGAGTATGACCCAACCCCAAGCTCCCCTTAAGAGCAGCATGCAGCCAAATTTCAGGCCTCCGGAACCAAGCTCACATTTATGCAACTATCACAGCTCATAACAATGTCATCTCAGCTAAGTATAAATGCCTCCAATGATTGCGTCTTCCCCACCTCAGAACTACATCCGTGCATACAAGGGTCAGCCTGGGTGTTCCAGCACGCAGCCTACCTACAACACATGAAGGAGGGGGTTTGGAATTCCATCCTCAAGCTGAAGAACCTAATGGCTAGACACTGCCTCTCTGATCAGCTAAAATATATAATGATGGTAAAAATTAAATAAAACAATATCATTAGTTCAATTTCTAACAAATTGGATTTCTCTTATTACAGAAAATCTATGCACAGATTTGAAATCTGCCTATTCTTAAATACTTCGGGAAGTTTAGAATCATCATGGATCCACACAATGGTCCTCAGAGGCTTCAAATGACAAAATGTGATTTCCCGGCAAACAGCAGCAACCTGGGAATGTTGCAGCCACAACCACTGGCCACCTGACAATGACACTTGCACCTGGCTGCACAGCCCCAGACATGGGAGTAAGCCCTGCTCATACAAAGACATCTGCGATGATGACCCAGGTCATCTCTCTCAACCTGCCGCCAGCCCTGCTGACCTCACTGCTACCCCCTTTCTTAGATTCTTGGAGCAGCTACCAAGTCACTTAGGCCCAAAAAGTGAAGAGCAATCAACCAACCACCTGATGTTTTGTCCCCTGGACACCAAGCAACTGAAAGCTTGGAACCTTCCAGACGATCAAATGAGTTTTTCACTTTCTGATAGGTGTAGGGACTAGAAGGTAGTGCCTCAGGTATATTCTTCTCCTATTAGAACTGGCAGTGAATGCTGTGGAACGGTCCTTGGTCTAAACGTAAGCAGTCATTTACTGGCTAGTTCAAGGTGGGCCTCCTGAAATCAACCGCTGTCTTTCAGAAGTTCCTCAAACTGAAATAGCATAAAACTCATATGATACCCACTGGTATGATGTGAGGCACAGCAGGTATCAGAACAGGTGCTGTGCTGTATAAACGTAAGCAGTCATTTACTGGCTAGTTCAAGGTGGGCCTCCTGAAATCAACCGCTGTCTAGAAGTTCCTCAAACTGAAATAGCATAAAACTCATATGATACCCACTGGTATGATGTGAGGCACAGCAGGTATCAGAACAGGTGCTGTGCTGTGACCTCTGGGCTGTGACGTCAAAATTCTTAACAAATGCACATACTGACTTTGAGATAACAAAGACAATCCATACATACAGGAAATTATCATGGAATGAAGACAATTAATATGAGACCTCCACCACAAAAAGAAAATACTGAAGTGGCCAGGAAGGGGTGTGTGTATGACCAATCCCAGGAGCAGGGAAAACAAAACTAGCAAGTTCATGAACTGCATTTCTGTTCTCTCCTTTTTTTAAACCAAAACTCTTTTTTCATTTAGATATCAGAAGGCTTTAATCAAACGATTACATTCAGAAGTAGAAAAATAAATAGAAGCACAGTTCTGGCAAGTGCTAGGAGTCTTCACTACGGGCCGCCAACCTCAGCCCATGCCTGCACACGTTTCACGGCCCAATTCATTAATATGCAACTGTGAAAATCCCACAGAAATATTTAGAAAGAAAAAAATTTAAGGTTGGTATGAGCCTCTTGGCTGACAATGACCCAAGGACTGTTCAATGGCCCAAGCACCTGAGATGGAGTTACAATCCATGAGAACAAGGCCGCTTCTTCTTGATAAACAGCCAAATGGGACACAGTCGGCAGCTGGAGATATGGTTCACGGGGACATGGTTCACAGGGTGCAAGGATAGGTATCCATTTTCACTGCAGATCACCTTCGTCCTCACTGTAATCAACCACTGCACTTGAATTCTACTCATAAAGTAGAAACTTTTTTATGGGGTCTGGCAGAGGCAGCGAGGGAATCAGATGAAGTCGGTACTTGCCAAGAGCTCTTCTCACAGCCACACGGCACAAACTCAGCAGGGTCCTGGGAATACCTGGAGAGTGAAGGGAAGAAAGGCAAAGACAGAGGAAGGAAGATTAATTCCCATCCTAACTCTAAAGACCAAAGGCTGCTGGGACTGCCAGACAGAACTGCACCAATGCTCACTGCTGACTTCCTGATTTTAAAGCAGTAAGGGCATGCCCTGGTGAGGAAGGTCTTGTTATCTGCTCCTTTCTGAGGAAGGAGTGAAACCTTTAGGGCCTCATTAGCCTGGGGCACCTGCTCACTGTGACAGCATCTCCTTCCTCAACTATGTTTAATGCCCTAGACAAAGAAAAGAGCTGACCACCAAAGGCCCTCGTAGGTGTGAGCAACTGACCCTCACCCTCTGTCAGCCTCTGCTCTTGGTCAATCCCGAAGCTCTAAGGGAGCCTGGGGGATACCAGCTGAGCAGTGCTTGGCGGAGCAGTGCTTGAGGGGAGCAGGCTGATGATTTTGCCCTGGGTCAAAAAACCCCAGCCAAATCTCTGCCTTAGTTAGTGAAGAGGATAACAAGTGAAACAGTCTTGGGCCGGCCCGGTGGCACACTGGATAGTGCGCCGCTCGGGAAGCGCGGCGGCGCTCCCGCCCAAGGGTTCGGATCCCACATACAGACCGGTTCCCGCTCTCTGGCTGAGCGAGGCACGGGAGCAACACCGAGGGTTGCGATCCCGTTGCCGGTCCCCGGTCCGGTACGGGGG